GGCGACGGCGACGGCGACGGCGACGGCGACGGCGGCGGTGACGAGAACAAAAAAACGATAGAGACCTTCACATGCTGAAACCAATCATTCAATTCAAGCGTCGATGCTGCGTCGAACATCCAGCGACTTCAATCGACCTGGAGCCGAACTTGAGTCGGCCTTGAGTCGAGCTGGAGTCGAAGCATAATCGAACTAGAGGCGAGCTGAAGTCGAAGAGATCCGTTGCATGGGCCCCAGGAAGGTCCCCCACACGAGCATCTGACGACATCCTCGCGGGACAGCCGAAGGCGTCCCGGACAGGGCCGCTCCGTACTCCCCGTTTTCCAGCGCGTTCGTCCTCGCGGCGCGCCGCTGCTCCCGCGCGGGCCGGGCCCGTGGAGGAGGAGGACGAGCAGTCGCAGGCGGGGAAGGGGCGAGCGAGCGAGAGACCACGGCGCACGTCAGCGCAGCACCTAAGGAAGCGGGCCTGAGATGCTGCACTTGCACACCGCGTGGTTGCCCACGCGGGCAGCAGGCCACTTTGCTCAGCCGGCGGCAAGCGGTCGTGCAAGGAGCAGGATGAGGAGGAGGAGGGGAAGCAAAAAGAGGGACGGAAAATGATGGGAAGGACAGGACAGGAGGAGGAGGAGGAGGAGGAGGAGGAACAGGCAGAAGACGCGGCGGCTCGAGCAAGCCAACGCTTGTCCATTGTAAAAAGGAGGAGGCCGAGGAGGAGGCTTCCACACTGAGAGAAAGGAGACTCCACCATGCAGGGAAAGCACCGGCCCAGGAGGCAACCAGCGGCAGCCCCTGCGCCTTTGGACCCCTCGGGATCGCTGCGCCTTGCCCACGAGGGGAAGGAGGAGTGGGCAGCTCGCAACCGCTTATGTGCGCCAGCACCCAGCGCTGCTCTGACACCCGCCAGAGGGCCGCGACACGAACAGCTGGCAAGACCAGCATGCTCGGCTCTAGCGCGGCAAGGAGAATGGGGACGAGGATGACGAGGCAAGCAGACACCAAAGCGCCGGCGGGACGGCCAACCAGGGCGGGTCGTCGTCTGGCGTCGGTCGCCCATCGACGGCAGTCGCTGAGGAAGAGGAGGAGGAGGAGGAGGACTAGGAGGACTAGGAGGAGGAGGAAGAGGAGGAAGAGGGGGAAGCACGAAGGAGGTGGCGGAGGAGGAGGAGGAAGAGGAGGAGGAAGAGGAGGAGGAGGAGGCGCAAGAGCACCACCACTGAGAGATGTCATCTGTCAGCTGCTGCCTCCGATGCTGAAGCCGCTACGGCGCAGGGGCGGCGAGGCGCGGGGCCCGCCCGAAGGCGAAGCGCAAGCGGCCGTGCCTCACGTGCTGGGTGGGCGTGACATCGGGACGGGCAGCATGGGAGCGGGTGGACCTGAAAGGAGGAGCGGAAGAGGTCGAGAGCGATAAGATCGGAGACAAGCGAGCCAGTGGAGGAGGGGTCATAACGGTAGGGGGGGAGGCGCACGAGCGGGTCACTGCCAGACTCACGGGGTAGATGGGGGAGAAGATGAGGAAGAAAGGCGAGAAGAGCAAGATTGTCTAGATAATGAAGTAGACAACGGCCTCCAACTGCAGGACATCCGTGCCAGCAGTGCGTTGGCCCCTTGCGATATCTTCTGGTTGTATCCCACCTGTTCCACAAGGACTTGAGGGGTGATGAGGTAGGTAGGCAACTTACATGAGCTAGAGGCGAGCTTCAACATGCATATCACTATGTCCACGCTGTGGGTCGTAATGAGCAGGGCGAACTTCCGAACATACCGAGGGATAAGTCTAGTCAACGGATAATTGTCCAGCAAGCCATCACTGGATACATCTAGGTTCGAGATCATGAGGAGCATCCTGGGCGTAGGAGGTGTAGCGATGTGCATGGTACAGCTGGACGAAGATGGAGGACCTGAAGAAAGCTGAGTATATGTGTGTGTGACCAGATACAGATCTGAGCCAATGATATCCTGGATCTCTCTCACAGGCTGTACAAAGAACAGAACCAATGGCCACTCTAAGTATAGCAGCACGGGTGACCAAGAACAGGTCCCAAACATTCACAGGGTGTCCAACCCCGCTGAGGCGAAAAAGAAGCTTGGGCGGTACGGCTTGTCTCGGCACCCGCGTGTACAGCTGGTGGCTCGTTATCTCCATGCGAAGGGCGAAGTCCGTTGGAGCGTGGCACTGTGCTACATAACCCGAGATAGGAAGTGTATACCGATTATGCGCGCCTATCGACTGCGTGAACCTGACCCCCATGCGTTTGATACGTGCAGCACGCTGGTACATTTCAATCGCCACCTCTCTCCAAGAGAGCTCTGGCCCTTCAAGGCCGATCATGATCCCAAGATATTTTGCTGTCAGGACGATGTTCCAACTTCTTGGCACTGAACTTGTGCTGTTTGAAGCGCCGAGGAGCCTCTGGACCCAATGCGGGGTCCAAGAGGAGGATTACACACTTGTACATGTTAAGGACGAGGCCGGTGCAATTGCTGGCAAGGCAAATCTCGCGAGCGATGACAGGAAGCGCCTGGAAGAGGTGCGCCGACGCCATGGCCAAATCGTCAGCACACGCTGACAAGGACACTGGGATACTGAGACCATGGCCCTTCATCTTGAACAGCAGCGGGTGTAAAGCCAATACAAAGAGTACTCCAGACAGCGGGCAGCCTTGCTTGATCCCGCGCTCCGCGAGGAACCAGAGGATCTGGGAACCCTTACACTGGAGGTAGTACCTAATATTATCGTAAGGCTTTCGGATGGCCCCGATGACAAAACTGGGAAATCCGAACCTCTCCAGGACAGCAAACGTCCAAGGCTGATAAATGCTCGGAGACGCAGCCTGCAGGTCGTAAAACGTGGCCCGGTAAGCTTGTGCCCCAGGAGTTCCTTCTCTGCCGAGCCGTCTTCATCTGTGTCTCCTTCTGGGCAAGACCACCAGCCTGGCAAGGTTGAAAGTCGAGTCGAGGTCGCCCTCGCTCCTGACGTGCACGTGCACGTCGCACAGCGGACGAGTTGCCTCCTCTCCTCCATGGCGCCATTGCAGGGATGGCAGACCGTCTGGCCCTGGGCAGGAGTCCCTCCGAGAGCTCACTGGGTCCAGGAATCTGTCATGAGTAGCTATCCGCCGATGTCTAGTGGTGCTGGCGGCATTGAACTGGTAATCATCAGCGTCAGTGGGGTCGATGAGGTCAAGTAGAGTAGGAGCAGAAGACATATCCACGTTCACGCCTATGACGACTCCGCCCCAGTGGTCAACAAGCCACTGGGCTGCCACGTCGGGGTCAGCATGTGCCTGACACTGAGGATCCATAACTGCCTTCAAAAAGATCCGCTTGCCCGAACGGGTCCAGGCAAGATACATCCGCTTGACACGTTGAATATGAGAATCACGATTAGGAAGATGCGCAGCTCCTTCCAGCCCCCCCTCCTCCCCCTCAAGGCTTTCCCTCATCAGACTCTGGACATGATTGTGTACCCCCGCCCAGTTGGTCCACTCCTTCACCTCAAGGTCCAAGGTCAATAAAATGTGCAAGCTCTGGCTCAGCTCGAACAGCCTTACGCGCGCCCATCTCGTTGCGAGCACGTCGACAACGAATAAGCTTCAAAAGGCATGCAATATTGTCGGCAACCGTTTGTCCTGAGCGGAGAGGTGAACACGGGTCTAAAGCAATACTACGACGGGCACGGGAGCTGGACAGCTTGAGCCAAACAGATTGCAGTGCCCAACAACTGCTTCTCCACTTCGTGAAATGAATGCTTCGGGCCCATGGACAGGCAGGGAAAGCAGGCAGAGTAGACACAGGCACCGTTCAAGGAGGAGGAGGAGGAGGAGGAGGCGGAGGAAGAAGAGGAAGAAGAGGAGAAGGAGGAGGAGGAGGAAGAGGAGGAGGAGGAGGAGAAGGAGGAGAAGAGGGAGGCGATGGCGACATGGCGACCCTCCTTCTTGACCGAACTCTGGCCGCCGGCCGGCACCGGAGCCCGGAGGCCGGCCGCCCCATGGCGGGGTCCTCACGATGCCCACGGCCGTCTTGTGCCCAGTGCCCCGCTCCTGCGAGAAGTCGGAGAGGTCCCAGAAGGCCTCCTCCTTGTCGGGCCCGGCGCCTGGTCGGCAAGGAGGAGGAGGAGGAGGAGGAGGAGGAGGAGCGAGGAGGAACGAGGAGGAGCGAGGAGGAGGAGGAGGAGGAGCCTGAAATCCTGGCGACTCGATTCGTTCGAGGCGGGCGCTTGCGCCCGCTTTCGGGCCCCAGGGCCATCAGGGGCGCGCGCAAACATGGATTAGCGATCCATGGATTTGGCGCGCGATCGCCAAATCCATGGATCGGGGGAAGTGCTCTCGCGAAAATGCGGCCAGTGCCGCCTCGTTCGGTGGCGGAAATCCACGATTACCATGGAAGCGAGACCCGCCGCTAATTCACGCCCCCTTGATCCATGTTTGCGATCGCCTGAAGATCGATCCAGCTCGAAAAGCGCAGCAGAAAGATGCGGTCAGGGCTCTGGTCGCGATTTTGTTTCGCAACGTCGGATCTCGAGGGAGGGAACAGGAAAAGGACCCTGACGTCCTCGCGTCGCGAGAGGATCACGACCAGAGGCTTCTGGTCGCTTCCAGCCTCCCAGGGCCCTCACCAGCCCTGGGGCCGTCAAAGAGCGGCCCAGGATAAAGACCCAGTCCCGGGGAAGAGGTCCAGACCTCTGGGGAACCACGTCGTGAAAATCACGAGGTCGGATGTCAGGGAGGGCACTACGTCAGATGCCTGGGGGACCACCGCATGCTGTCTACATCGTCCTCTTCCTGCCTCCCTCCTCCTCCTCCTCCTCCTCCTCCTCCTCCTCCTCCTCCTCCTCCTCCTCCTCCTGCGCTCTCTAACCGAATTGCATCATCATCATCATCATGTTGAAAGGCAATGTGGGACAACGTCTTCCCTACCGTCCGTACTCCTTCCCTTGACTCCTCCTCTAGGCAAACCTCCTTATCCCCATCCCCCCCTTCCTCCTCCTCCTCCTCCTCCTC